CCACCTCTACTGACTAAGGCTATAGATGGGGAAATTCTTTATCTGTATCTGGGGATTTCAGACGAAGCCATTAGTACGGTTCTGGTGAGAGAAGAAGCCAAGCAGCAGAAACCAATCTATTATATCAGCAGTGTACTGCACGGGGCAGAGCTGAGGTATCCTATAGTTGAGAAAGCAGCTTTAGCAGTTGTCACTTCGGCCAAGAAGTTGAGGCCATATTTCCAGTCACACCCAATTATCGTTCTCACAGATCAACCTCTCCGGCAGATTCTGCAAAAACCAGAGTGCTCTGGAAGATTAATTAAGTGGGCAGTAGAACTGGGGGAGTTTGAGATCACGTTTCAGCAGAGATCGGCCATCCGAGCTCAAGCATTAGCAGATTTTATTGTCGAGTGCACTCCATGTCCTTCAACCTCTAATCCAGAACCCAACGACTGGACTTTATATGTTGATGGAGCATCTAGTAGCAAGGGTTCAGGGGCTGGTGCTCTCTTGATTGGTCCAGAGGGATACCGAAGCGAACACGCCCTGAAGTTCAACTTTGATGCGACAAATAACATGGCTGAGTATGAAGCTCTGCTACTTGGTCTACAACTAGCATTAGAGTTGAAAATCAGTGCAATTCAAGTGTACAGTGACTCTCAGCTGGTGGTGAATCAAATCAACTCTATTTGCGAAGTCGTTGATCCTGTGATGGTAAAGTATGTAGCCTTGGTGGCCGAGCTGAAGTGCAAATTTCAGAAATTCTGTCTGAGTAAAATTCCCCGAGCTGAGAATGAACAGGCAGATTCACTCTCCAAGTTTGCCTCTGATAGCTCTTTAAGCTCCAGATCCGTTTTTGTAGAGGTCTTAGATGAACCAAGCTTCACGAAGTCTCGGGTGATAGAGATTAGCACAAACCCTGACACGCTGAGCTAGACTGATTCAATTGTCTCCTTCTTACGAGATGGGATAGTACCTGAGGACAGGCAGGAGGCAATGAAATTGAGGAAGAAAGCATCTCGGTATACACTTGTTGATGGAGTCCTGTATAAGAGATCTTTCTCACTTCCTCTTCTACTGTGTTTAAACCCCTATGAAGCTGAATACGCACTTCGAGAAGTGCATGAGGGTGTTTGTGGGAGCCATGTTGGTGCTAGGACTCTCGCTCACAAAGTCTTAAGACAAGGATACTACTGGCCAAACATGTACAAAGATGCCACTTACTTTGTTCAGAAATGCCCGAAATGTCAATTCTTCGCACACCTGACTCACCAACCAGCAGAAGAGCTCACGAACTTGGTAGCGCCGTGGCCATTTGCTCAGTGGGGACTGGATCTTTTAGGCCCATTTGTGAAAGGGGTCGGTGGTGTAACTCATCTGGTTGTTGGTGTAGATTATTTCACGAAGTGGGTTGAAGCTCGGCCTTTATCTAGTCTTACCTCTAAGAAGGTCGAAGATTTTGTTTTCAGTTCGATCATCTGCAGATATGGGATCCCAAATCAGATTGTGGCTGATAATGGAACTCAATTCAATTGCTCTTTATTCCGAGATTTCTGTTCCAGTTATGGGATCAAGTTACAGTTCACCTCTGTTTACCATCCGGAGTCCAATGGCATGGTGGAATCTGTTAACAAATGCATTTTGGAGGGTATAAGGCCGAGATTGGAGCAGCATAAGGCCAAGTGGGCAGACGAGCTCAACAACGTCCTCTGGGCATATAGAACCACGAGCCGAACTGCCACATGTACTACATTAAACCAAATCTATTTGATTAATTTCTATATTATTTTACTTCTTCTGTTACGCCTTATCTTAGAGCAAATATGCATAACGCGTAAAGCGCATTCTAAAGTTATAATTAATTGAAATAGGTGAAACACCCTACCACTTGGCCTTTGGTACCGAAGCATTCATTCCTGTTGAGATAGAACTCCCAAGCTTCCGGGTCACCCATTTCGATGAAGAACAAAATGGACAACTGCTTCGGGAAAACCTTGATCTGCTTGCGGAAGTCAGAGAAGAAGCTTGGCTTCGAACTCTTGTATACAAGCAGAAGCTAGCCAACTTCTACAATAAACGGGTCCGCCCTCGAACATTCAAAGTAGGAGACCTTGTTCTCAGAAAAGCTGGCCTAAC